GGGGGGGGGGGGGGGGGGGGGGGGGGGGGGGGGGGGGGGGTACTCATGTTTAACATGCCTTAGTTTTTTAGACCATTGAACACGCGTCCTCGAGAGGACGGGGCAGGAGCGTGGTTTTAGTGACGGGGGGTGATACGGGGGGAGGGGCCGTGTGGGGATAAGCTGTGACCTAACGACTTCTTTCGTCGAGAGTGGGCGTGCTCGTCGCACACGTTTCGTCCTCTGGTTGTAGACTTCTCATCTCGCCTTGTCATCTTCTTCTTTTCCCACAACCACTCCTACTTTCTCAACTTTTTCGAGTACTACAACAGTCCCTCCCCCCGTCTAGCCTGGTAAACCCGGCGTGCTTCGTTCTGGCTTTGTAGGGACGCGAGGTCAACGGTCTAACGACTACGGCATGCACGGCTGTGAGTACACCCCCCCCCCACCCCTGTTTCTCCTCTTGCGGCTATCGATTGGGCCAATTCGTCGGTCTCCTCAAAAACTCCGTCTCGGATTTCTCAGGAAATGGCGTCGCACCAGGAGACCATCTTCGGGAAGTACTTCGGGGACGGGGCGAGGGGAGGCGCGGGAGGCCTGGAGCTGCCGCCCTATGCGGTGGAACACACGGAGGTGCTGTACGCCAAGGCCAGGGGGAGGCCGCTCGGGTACATGTTTGACGTCGCGCAAGCCTTCGTCTACCAGGTGATTTTTATTCTTTCATATACTCTCTTCAGAGCGCCCAACGCCCAAACGAGGAACGATGAAAGTCCCCCCCCCCATCCATCCCATCCACCGTGCCTGCCGCCGCCACACCCTGCCAGTTTAGTCGGCGAAAACGCGATATAGATTCCAACCCCAACCGTACCGTCTGTGGTTTAAGAACTACACCCGTGCATGATATAGCGTCTTTCTCCCCGTCGCACCCACCCCCCATCCATTCACGCACGCCGCCGCGCCCCTTTGCGTGTGTTTATTCCCTTCACGGTAGGAACTGCGCGACCGCTGGCTCCCGCAGTTTCGATCCTCGTCTAGCCACACGGCGCTGGTGGACCACCTCCGGATGTCCTACCCGGTGTCGCTGTCACAGCTGCTCTCGGAGGGCCCGTTCAATGACTGCCTCAACAGCTTCATTTACGACTCGGGTGAGGAGCCGGGCAGGGTACGGGAGGGGGGGGGCGGAGGGGGGCTTGCGTTTCTGGAGACGAGCCTGGTTGGGGTGTTAGTTAGTGTCGTTGTTGCTGCTGCTTTATTGTTGTTGCCATGACCGCGTGGAGAGAGATACGAGTGGCACTCCTTGATTGCTCTGGACGCAACGGGTTTTTCAAGTTAGAGAGGGCTGCGGACAACTTGTGCGGAATCTACCGGAGCGATAACCCCCCCTCCCCCACTATCCCACCGGTCCTCTCCCTGACTCCCATTTCGTGTTGAAAGACTTTACCGGCCGCCCCCCCCCCCCCCGGCTTACGTTTCACGACAAAAACGGCCCGCGTCTCGAACAACGTACCCGCGCCACAGGGGAGTGCAAAGCCGACCTGCGACAGGACTTCCAGGTGTGGTTCGCGATACACTCCACCCTCCGGCCGCTCTGTGCGATGGTGCTGCGGAGCCTGGAGAAACGCGGGGTGCCCGGGAGCACGAAGCAGCTGTCCAACCTCGAGGAGGAGGGCATGAAGTTCCGGGTGGGTTGTGGGTTTATTCGCGCTGTGTTACGGCTTAGGTAGGGCTGGATTGGGTTTTGCTAGGTTGGATTGGAGCTGGGCTGGGTTGTGACTGGTTCTGATTATTATGTACCTTTTTTTGTCGTGTCGGCTGTTTCGTGTAGAAGGACATGAAGTTTCGGGTGGGTTGGGTTTAGTCGCGCTAAGTTTGCGCTTAGCTCGGTTGTGCTAGGTTGTATTGGGTTTGGCTACATAAGTTGTGGTAGGCTGGGTTAAGGTTAAGGTCAGGTTGCTTTTAGGTAGACAGGCGAGTTTCTCGTGGTCGACGTTTTTTTTTTCTTTTTTTTCGTTCGTCTCGGGTGTTCCACAACCGGAGGCCTTCTCGGGGTGGTGCATTGTATGTGTAGAAGCCCATATTGCCAGCAGCAGTGGCTGCGACAATGGCAACCGAGAGAGGAAGCTCTAAAGTGGTCACCAGCGAAATCATTGTGTTCAAGGTTGCGCGTGCACCCGGGCACCTGTGCATTTAAACAGGACGCCTATCTTGAGGGGACGGAGGTCGTGCGATCCCCGCTCGACAAAACTGTCAAGGCCTTGCTCGTAAAAAGGTAAGTTGTTATTGTTGTTGTTGTTGTTGTTGTTGTTGTTGTTGTTATTGTTGTTGTTGTTGTTGTTGTTGTTGTTGTTGTTGTTGTTGTTGCTGCTGCTGTGTCGTTGATGCCGTGTTAACCCGAAATCTCGGTGATGAAATTGCCCGCATCCCCTTGTGCAGACGCCAGGCGGCTCGTTTCGCACGGGTTCATCCTTCGGTAGCTGCAGCCTTCTTGAATCCGCCCCCCTTCTCCCACCCGGTGTTTGCCATCGGGGTTGGGTTTTCGTCGCTTGGCAACGATGTTGTAAAACAAGCCAATTCACTTCGTGAACTCGGCAACCAGGTTACCGTTTCTTTTTTTTACCTCCTTTTTTTTTTTGGCGGTAACCATGATGGTGCTCGAGTAGATCATGTTGTGCGGGGTCGAGAACCCTCACTCCGCGCAAGGGGGATGGTCGCACCACGTTGTGTTAAAATGGTCAAGCACCCTCGAGGCAGTTACACAGTGCTTACAACTGTCTCTGGAAGTGAAAGCACCAGAAAATAAATTAATTCATACGTAGCTGTCATCCGTACGCAAGGAAGTAAGCACAAGATGCCGAACACCCTTAGCAGGATGCAGCGCACCCTTCATGCGACTCGCCGAATATCTCACGGCGCTTCGCGCTTGGTGATGTGAGAGCCTGGTCCGGTGAGAACCCGGCGTGCTCCGTCCCGGCTTTGTAGGGATGCGAGGTCAATGGTCTAACGACTACGGCATGCACGACTATGAGTACACCCCCCCCTTCCCCCTTGTGCCCCGTTGTCCATGTTCTATGCGTATGCCGCGCTCTCTCTCTGTGTCTTGTCTTGTCGCTGTCTCTGTCTTTCTCTCACTGGCTCTATCTTTGCATGTCTCTCTGTCGCTCTCTCTCTCCCTCTCTCTCTTTCCCTCTCTCCCCCTCTCTCTCGTGCGCCCGCGCTTTCTTGGTGAAACGATGACGGCAATAACACAAATATTTTTGTTGAACAGAATTTTCGGTCTGATCGGTTGCAAGCCCACCGGCCTCGGCGCTTTAGGGGTCGGTAGCATGAGCGGGGGGCCCGGGGGAGGCAGCAAGAGCGGCGCTATCTACGCGGAGTCTCTCAGGTGAGGGAGTTGTACCATCGTCCTCCCAAAACACCGTCTCCCTCCCAAAACCGTGCTTTGGAATTTTCCTTGGAATTTCTTAGATGTAAAGGTGTTGATTTCATGATGAGCGAGTCTTTGTGTACGACCTCAGGGACAGAGGTCGGAGAAACTTTTGTTTTTTGTGTGTGTGTTTGTGACCGTGTGTGTGTCGAGGTTTGCGGCATGTCAGCGGTATCGTCGCTGAACGTGTGATCTAGCATGCCTTATTCATTCTTCTCCCGTTCCCGCTCTTTTGTTGGGTGTACCCTCTTGTTAGGCAGTCGGGTTAGCAACAAGGCTCTTTCTCTACAGCGAAGGATCTCTCGTACCCCCCCTCCACGTCGTACGTTGTCTGTACCTCTTCCACAGGAAAACGTATCTGTATAGAGTGGGGTTGTTTGTGACTAGGGTTACTTCCACGTTTATTTCCACGAACGGGGCTGGTGTCAGTGATAAAAATGTGCCACCGTTTGTCTCCCCGCCGATCCATACCCAGGGGTACGCTCGTCACTATTTATCAGTGCCCACCGCTCCTTCTTCTCCTCTCCCCCCTAACAGATAGCGGGCCATCGCCCACCCTCTTCCGCCTCCCTCTGTGGGTGCGGTTGCGCCGCCGCCGCCGCCGTCGTCGCCGCGCTCGTTGATCTCGCCCCCGGCCTGTCTGTGTTGCTGCTGCGTTGCTGCTGCGGCGTGTCGTCTCATTCGCCGATGCCCCGCTCGTCACTCCTACCCCCCCTCTTTTGCGGTTTGCTGTGCTTCTGTGGCGCATGTTGTCTCATTCGTAGTTGACGCGCTCGCCACTCCTAATCCCCCCCCCCCCCCCCCCCCCCCCCCCCCCCCCCCCCCCCCCCCCCCCCCCCCCCCCCCCCCCNCCCCCCCCCCCCCCCCCCCCCTCTCCTCTGTCTCTGCGTTTTGCTGCGTTGCTTCTGCGGCATGTCTCTTTCGCCGTCGTCGCGTGTGGACGATACGCATCTGATTCCCATCCGCAGGGCCGCTGTGTCGGGGCTCAACGACGCCCTGCTGTTTGCCGAGGATCAGGTGTATCGCCCTCTGGAGGAGGCGGTGGTGCCGGCCTTGGTGAAGAGCTCCACCTTCGGGAACTTCGTGGACGACCTCAGCTCCCTGGAGGTGTGTGCGTGCGTGTTCTTGATTGTATTGTGGATTTGCATGGACCACATTAACCGACTGACCAAAAGTGGGAAGCCGCCATGACTCCGTCCAAAGGACGAAAAACGGATCAATTATGGAGATCACGTGTTTCTTTGGTTTGGGTCTTGGAATGCAAAGCGTTAATCGAAAATTGTATCTTCTCGTGTGAAGCGGCTTTGAAACCGAAAAAATGAACCGAACGGATACCACAAGAAAAAAAAATATGGGAGTGGGAAAACAGCACGATGTTCCCAAAGGCAAGACAGGGCCATCATCTTGTGCGATCTGCACCTCTATCGATGAGTCGTCCTTCCCTTTTGTATGAATTTAGTCATCCGCAGCTGTCATCCGTACGCAAGGAAGTAAACACAAGATGCCGAACACCCTTGGCAGGATGCAGCGCACCCTTCATGCGACTCGCCGAATACCTCACGGCGCTTCGCTATTGGTGATGTGAGGGCATGGTCCGGTGAGAAATCCGGCGTGCTCCGTCCTGGCCTTGTAGGGATGCGAGGCCANCCCTCGTATGCTCTGTGTCCCCTCTCGGTTTCTCACCCCCGCCCTCTCCAGTGCGCTCCGCTGCAAGCTCGCCTCCGGCTCCTGAACGACTGGGCGGACGTACAGCGGAAGCTGCCGGACAAGGCGGTGGAGTCAACGGCAGGAGGCAAGACGTCCCACCTCCTCCGGCCCTGCCCGACCCCCGCCGCCCCCGACGTTTGGCCGGTGGCTTCCTCCAAGGCGGGAGGTGTTTTCGGAGGCCCCGATAGGCCCGGCAGGCGGGCGGGGAGGGGGAGGGGGGCCAGAGCGGGCGCTGGCGCGGACGTGACCTGCCCCTCGCTGCTGTTCGTTTTCCAGGTGTGTGCTGTGCTCTGCTTGGAGACAGGGGGGGCGTACTCTTATGTTTTGCATGCCTGAGCGGTTACACCGTTGGCCACGAGTCCTCGAGAGGAAGGAGCGTTGTTCCCACAGGACCAATCACCGATGGCCAAAGACGGGGCGACGGGCGGGGGGGGATGCGGGGGTACTCTTATGTTTTGCATTACTTGGCGGTAAGGCCATTGACCACGCGTCCTCGAGAGGACGGAGCATTGTTCCCACAGGACCGATCACCGATGGCCAATGGCAGGGGGATGGGAGGCCGATTTGTTTGTGTTTTGAGGTAGATGATTCGCGGGGGAGTGCCGGACTAGGGGGGGGGGTGCGGGGGGGCAACGGTTGCTTGCAATTTGAGGTTTACATGTCGGGCATTGGCGTTGGTTACTGTTTGTTGGTCACGCACGGACCGTCTTTCTCCTGTTGCTCGTGAGGCGCGTTTGTTTCGAAGGGATAGGAGGTGAGGAGAGCGGAAGGCGGAGGAGGGGAAGGGGCAGGTGTCGACGTCCGTGTCTGTCTCGTGAGTCCTTTGCGAGGTGTGGACGACAACCGCTCCTTTTTTTTTTTTTTTCGGTTTCTCCTGGGAGATGTCCATCCCGCACCATGCCGTCCTCGTCTCTACCGCAGGCAGGCTTACGCACCTGTCGCTGTCAAACCTTGCGGTTGTGCATGGGTGGGTCCGTGTTGATTTGTTAACCTTCCCTCCGTGACTACAAACGCCCAGCAATGACCCGCTCTCTTATTGCCCTCGCACCACAACAAAATAGGTCGATACCGAGGAAGCGACTGACGGCGAAGACAACGACGGCGACAAGGCCCCCCCCGCCCCCCCTCCCTCCGGGGACAAGGGAGGGGCCATTTTGGGCCAAGCCCCCCGCGGTCTCCACGGCGTCGCCGCCATCGCGGCCACCCCGGTCCCCGGGTCGCCAGATTCAGCCACCAAACGAGCAGCAGCAGCGGCAACAGCGGCGTTACCAGTGGAAGGGAGAGGGCAGGGGCGGAGGGGCTTCGTACGATCACCGCCTCGGCCGTCGGGACCCCCCCGCGCTTACGGGTCTCCGACGGACGGGGCGGCGAGAAAGGCGTCGCCGACGCGGTCGTCGCCGCAGGGAGTTCCCCCCGGGGCGGGAGAGGGCGGCGGCGGTGGAGCTGGCGGCCGCTTGTTGAGGAGGTTTCGAACGAAGGTGGGGGGAAGGGGTTGGGGTGGCGACGTACGCGGGGCACTTGGTCTCAAGTTCTACCTGCTTGCCGACTGCTGTCGGCGTTTTTGGTTGTTCGGCGCGTCTGTGGTTGTCTTTGAGCTTTTGGTTGCGTTGCATGTACTTTAGGCATCGGCACGAAACGTGGTTGGTTGTATTTTCGACCGATGGCCCTAACGAGCTCCGATGATCAAAGGTTGTGGTATCGGCACCCTCTTTCTGCCGAGCCGATGTTCTTGTCGTGGCTGCCGCCGGCGTTCTGCGAGAAGAGCCGGTGGTAGGTGAAGTGATAAATCAACTAGGCCATGGGTGCCCCAAACCAAGAGTAAAAGGATGTACAATACCTGGTAGATATCACTCTGGCAAATTCTCTTGTACTAAATAGTTATGCCGTGGATTTGTCGAAGGTTTGTCCCTACGGGTTGGGTTAGTTCGGAAAAGGAGGTAAGTCATGAGGCGAGGTCAAACCTTGAAACATGTGCACGTTTTGCTCGCGCCTCGCGAAGACAGCAACAACAACGACCGCGGCAGTAGCAGCGCTTTAAAAACCACCTGCCGTCGCATCTACACACTGCTGTTCTTCGCGGCTTGCAACAGGTGAGGCAGATGAGGCACGTGATCGCCGCGAGGGTGCTGCAAGACATGCCTCCTCGAAAAACGGGGGGAGGAAACCCTAGCGTCCCCAGGTCGGATTCGGCGTGGGAGTGGGACGGAGAAGAGGG